GGGGGGAGGTGATGGAAGGCGCCGAGGGGTGTCGGGGGGACGAAGTGCGGGAGCCGGTGGGGGGTTCGTCTGGGGGAAAGAGGAAACCTGAAGGAAATAAAATACAAAACGCTGACAAAAGTGTGTAATGCGTAGCGTGGAGGGGCACAGCTCCCCTGAGACTGCAAAATCATAGGGTTTATTTGGGTTTTTAAATAAACAGAACTAAGGGGAATCACAGTTGTGTTTTAAGACCGTGAATTTAAGGCAGTGCTCCGTGTCTCTGGGGGTGTTGTACGGTTTAGGTGTGGGGTAGATCTTGGAAGCGACTGATGATGTTTGCTCTCCCGCCGCTGACCTCTGCACGTGTTCACAGCTCAACTGGTCAACTCCGTTTAAAAGTCCAGCCAGGTGCCTTCCCAGAAATACAAGTAAGAAAACCCAACAGGGGGCTTAGCCGGCTTATACAGCTGGGTGTGCTTATGTGCATGGAGGACTTAGATCCTTCGTGATCACAAGTGGGTTTTAGTTGTATAAGCCATGTCAGAGGACAAGTGCCAGGTAGAGAAAGTGCCTTGCCCAGGATTGTTTCAGAAGAGGTTAGCGGAATCAGGAATCAAATACCAGTCACTGGGGCAGCCATGGGCCAGACCAGCCTCCCCAGGCAGATGAGGCAGAGGCACCTTGAGATGCCTGCTCAGCTCGACTTCTGCCTCCTCAAGGAGAAGGTGAGTGGCGTGGAAGCAGGTTGCTGAGTAACTTTACTATACTCTTAAAAAGCAAAAGAGAAAATGATAAAAGAAATGTGCCATCAAAGGATTTCTATCTAGACAGAGAGGGTGGTGCAAAGATATATTAAAGCAGCTGGTCGTGGCCATCGGATCAAACAGGCCGTGTTCGGGTCAGGGAGCAGGGCTGGAGCCTGACACGGACTTTAACAGAGTGAATGACAGGGGTTGCTATCAGCGGTGACAAGGCCACAGATCTAGTAATTTATTAACCATTTATATTATTTGGTTTATTCACCATCATGCAAGAAATTGCAAAATTGTAATATACATTGCCAGCTGCAGCTTATTTGTTCTCTTTTAAAACGGTGAGTTTCTCCATTGAGCTGAGGAATTTTTCCAAAAATACCAACTTGTACATATCAGTATAGGAATGTATGGACTGGGTCAGAGCAAAGATCCATCTTGCCCAGTCCTCTGTCTCTGGCAGAAGTTGGTGCTGGGCATCTAAGTAAAAAGTAAAAGCATGTGGTGATCTGGTCTGGCTTCCCACCTCCAGCCATCTGTGACTGAGGGACCTCCCTGAGCCAGAAGTCTTACCTTTCTGTTTAATGTTGGATTTTATACAACCTCAGGTAGCCTGATAAAATGCCCATGTCTAGAATATGAACATGAAAGCTGGCGTTTATGTTTTATTCTTCCTCTAGGTAGGCCAAAGTGACCAGCAGTCCCTACAGCCCCAAGCAAAGTGCGTAAAGCATCCCCCGGAGGGACCAGCAGCCCGTGCAAGCGTACAGCTGATCCTACAGCACAGCCTAGCAGATCTGAATGCAGAATAACAAGGATGTTGATGGGGCCTTTCTCTTCTGTTAGTCCTTGTAGTTTAGGTAAATATATTCTGGGATCAAAATGCTCTACATATCCCGAGAAATTATGATGACAACTTCACCAAAGGCACAACCATATCTTTTTATCAGCCTTTTCACAGGCTTGATTTTTCCCTTGTCTAGTTAAGCAGTGTTTCAGATTCCCAAGTAAAAGCCAAAGAAAGACCTTCCAAGTTAGAGTTTTGCTATTTTCTGAAAACCTAAACTCAGAGAATTTACATCCAGGAAATATTTATCAGACTGTCTCATACACTCCTCATACCTCCCCCACTCAAACCCTAGGTCACAGTCGAAATGCTGACTGTGTTACTTCTTCTGTTTCAGTATGAAAGATTTCATATGAAACTAGTTTTTCCCCTTTCCCTCTGGAGGTTATTGTAGTGTCACTGAACACTAGTTTTGTAGTGTCACTGAACACTAGTTTTTCCCCTTTCCCTCTGGAGGTTATTGTAGTGTCACTGAACTTCTCTCCATAAACTCAAGCCTTGGGAATCCTTAAATAGCTGTCCTGCATCCTCACTGTTTATGATTGGAGAGTGTTTGCAAAACAACTGTCATGCCAGCCTCCCCTACAACCATTTAGACATAATCCGTTCTTTATTTTTGTTCCCATAAATTGCTTCATCCAGACCTTTACAAAAATACTTTTATTTCCTTCTCTGACTCTCCTGCCTATGTTTCAACAAATTTCAGGTACGCAGTTGGCTGCAGTCCTGGGTGGGAATCCTTGTATTGGATTTACTTTTAGAGACCTGAAGGGCAAGCCCACTCTATCCTCTGTTCAGTGCATAATTTTATTTCAGCACTGTATTTTATCACCAGTTCTATCATCAGGAAGCCACAGACAAAGACAAGCTGAAGGTGGGGTATTCTGGGTACTCCCTGAGGCACCAAAGTCCTTGAGTTGCATACTTATTCTTTTTCTACAGATCTTAATCGTGCTAAAGGATGTTGGAAAATGTCTGGAAATCAGTGCTTGCACGTGGGGAAGATCGTCTGTGAATTAGACACCAATTGAATTATTATCTATGATTTTGGGCACTGAACTGTCTCTTAAGCTAATTTGGAAAACCCTTCTAGACACCTGTCTATGCCATTAGGTATCTAAATAGTTTTGAAAAAACATCCCCCCGTTTCCAAGGGTCTTGGGAGAGGTCAGTGCGATGACTTTGAGAGTGCTGGAAATTCTGAACATATCTGCCAAATAACAAGGTTCTGAGTGCTCAGTTCCAGGTGGCTAAAAAAAAAAAGGCATCTGTGCAGGAGATAGATGTTCAGACTTGGTCCCCAGAATCTGACACATCTTCAGTCTTGAAACTTGATGCACAGACCAAGGTTATCCAACCCTACCCACCCTATGAATACATGAATGGGGCATTCTTTGCACTGATGGAGAATAGGTTAAGGCTGTATTTTAAAACATAGCTTCCTCTCCCTCTCCCTGCCCAGCTGGAAGTGCCAAGCACTAATTTATCTTTCTACATTCATCAGGCATTCAGCACTTTTGAAGATCAAATTCCCCAGCTGTGTCAGACAGAATGCTGTAAAAATAGGACAGAGAAATTCACCTGATCTTTATAGAAAGAGCTTCCTCTGGTAAGCAGAAAGAATGACTGTATAGCCTGAAGGTATTCACACTCAAGTAGACTGAGCTTGTCAACTCAATCTGCTTGGGACACGAAACAGCCATCACTGAAAAACAAGGTAAGATTTCACCTACTGACCTAGGTCTGAAAGGCAGCAACAAAATGCAAAAGTTCTGGTCTCCTTAGTAAAGCTGACTTGTGTGCGCTTTGTTTTATTCTCTCTAGCAGCATCCCATGGAGAAAGGCTTAAGCAGATGAAAAAAATAAAGATTTCCCTTTTTTTTCTGGTAGAGGATTAACTCCTCTGAGGTCTCCTGCGAGCATACAACCTTCTCCTATGCATCGGAAGTCTCCGCAGCTGAGTATTTCCACGCCTCTGGCTCTGCAGAGCATTCAGTCGGATGGGAAGGACGGTCTTGCTGATGACATTGAGGCGTTCATTCAGTTCTTCTAGCCTCTTCCTTATTGATTGGACTTCCCTCACAAGATTGTCCACAGCTGCAGAGACAGGGCGGAGACTACAGAAAGAGTAATACAGGAGAATAACCCAGTGTGAGGAGTGTTCCTGAGCACGCAGAATAATTTACCACGACCTTGCATTTGTTGGTGGGGAAGTTGCAAGGAACCATTAAAAGAAGCTTCCAAAGCCACCCTGACCCTTGGGTGGTGGGAACTCATCTGAGATGCCCCCATCTGAACCCAGGAAACTATAAGCTTCAGGACCAGCGTGGGCAACACTCTCTTTCCATCGCCACCAAATTGCAGCTGGCTCAGAGCAGAATGACAGCAGGTTTATGAGCTCCCAGAAGCACTTCACAGCACTCCTGCCTTAAGTGGAGGGAAGAAAACCATCCTGCGTGGCTGGAAGTGGCAGGGGTAGAGAAGAAGTGAGCAGCAATGTGTGGGGTCACCTATGAGGACTTCCCAATGCTGCACGCTGTGGTGCAGCTGTGATAGCACAGCCCCCAGGTCGCTCCAGGCTGTGCCTCCGCCGGAGCTGAGGGAGAGGGAGAGCCAGGTTCTACACCAAGATCTGCAAGGTAAGGGCTGCACTGGTGTGCTTGGGGATAACCATGTCCCTTCCCTCAGAGGGCTTCCTCTCAGTCTCCCTTTGGGTGTCACAAAGCTCTGATGATCGTTCTAATCTTTCCTGATACTAATTAGTATTAATGAGCCTCACTGTTAACCAGGAGCAGACATGGAGGCTGGGCCAGTGATTCCTATGGATTACTGTCAGTCCTCAATATTTCTAATGGCCTGGCCTGTGTCCTTACCAGCAAACGCTTAATTCAAAGCCCTATTCAGGAGACATGGCTGAATAGTCTCATTACATCTCCCTGGACTAAAGCCAGAGCTTTCCAAATACGTGACTTAATATTGGCCCTGAT